AACAAAATCCCAGACAATAGTCAGTATATGGGACTTTGCAGGCCAGCATCTTTACTATGCTTCACACCCTGTGTTTTTGTCTCCAAGAGCTGTTTATTTATTGGTCTATAATCTTAGTAAAGATCTTGCTTCCGAAGCAGAGCCATGTGTAAGACAAGGTGCTTTTGACATTTTCTTAGAAAATGCTGATAAGCAGACCAACCTAGAAGCAATTCTCTCATGGTTGGCCTCAATACACAGCATTCGACCAATCAGTGACCAGGAAGAGGAAGCTGAAAGTAGTGATTCCATGAAGGTTCCTGGAAATTGTCTATACCTGCGACCTCCAGTGATTGTAGTTGGCACCAATGCTGATCGGCCTTTTGCTGAGCCCAAGAAAATGGAAATAGTCATCAAAAAGAGCCTGTCTGGAAAAAGCTTTCAGCAACATTTGGTGAAGCCATTCTTCACTGTGAATAACACTCTATCATCAGCTGACGATGGAATACAACGCTTGCAGTCAAGGATTATTGAAGTATTGGAAAAGGARCCCTACATGGGAGAGCATATACCTGTCAGATGGCTTATCTTTGAGAGGGTATGTGATGCTTTGACTTCTACCTCAGTTTTTACTGATAAAATCATCTTTATGGTGATGAACTGAGTGTTTTTTCGCTTAATATAATCTCTCTTTCATGAAAGATTTCATTTSATTTAAGGTGATCAAAGCCTTGGTGGACAAGAARACTCATTATCTGCYGYTGCCAGACCTGGAAAAGATYGTCATGGAMGTTTGCTTTATAGAGGAAAGTGATGAAATCCATGCCATGTTAGACTATTATCATGATCTTGGTGTCATCACCAAACATGGCGATACAGTGGTTCTCCATTCTCAGTGGCTTATTGATCTGTTTAGAAAGTTGATYACTGTCAGACCTTATGATGATCAGGTAATACTYACCTTATCATGGTACATGTATTCCCACAATGACAGCTAGCTTAAAGCACCATAAAGTTGCTATGGGCCACTTTTTCCCGCTTTGTCAACAATCAAACCTGTCTTGCTGCATTATTTCCAGAGAAGTAGGGCTTGTGTTATTGAACACTCTTAACACGCTGTGATTATTTGTTCTAGAAYCCCATGTATGAGGAACACTGGAATGACCTTGAGGAAAGTGGAATTCTGCACATGGAGCTTGTTGAGCATGTTTTTAGTGAACTTCTAGATAGYGGMCAAAGTAGAGAMGATCTTCTTGGAATGATGGAACATTATGGACTGATTGCTGGGTTCAAGAAAGATGCTGACATTCGTTACTTTGTRCCTGCTCAGCTACGATCATCTCCAGATGARTTATTAGATATTCAGCCATCACCCGTCGGACCATGCGCACTGTATGTGCATTTTATTGATGGTTTTGTCCCACATGGTTTATATTCTTTGTTTGTGTCTAAATTCATTGCCTGGTGTTCCACATCTCAGGATGGTAGTCAACATGAGCCAAATCTGTACCGAAATGTCTCGCGTTTCATTCTCGGGAAATCTTCGGATTACGAACTGATAATCATCTGTAGGAAGCGATTCATCAAGGTCGTTCTATGCAACCTTCAAGAGAACAAGTCATGTCTGTACCAACC